CCAGCGATAGGTAGAGTACTGAGTGTAAATCAAACCCATCGGGGAGGTCATTTCGCCAGCTCGAAGAAGTTCTCGGCGAAAGTCACTTTTGTCATCTGAACCAGAAATCATTGATATCATAAATGCGCACGTATCAGCTGACGTAGTTACTCGCACTTCTTTCGCAAGTAACCAGTTCTGTTGATAGAGTTTGATGAACATAGCGCGTGTTCTAATCACAAACATCTCTGTTGGTCTTCCATAGAACGTTGTTGAGACAACACGTGCCACATATGACAGGCATTCACCTGAGAATTCACCACATGCTTACTTATTTCAAGCCTAAACGACCGCTCCGGCCCAGGACCGAATCACTTCCGCTACCCACACCTATTGGTTTCTCGGTAGCTCGATAGATTTTTTAAGCTGAAACCTGGCAATAGGCGAAATAAAGTTATAATCAACATCTATGGTAAACCTGCAGCGCATGCGACGCAACTGAACAAACCACCGATCTATGTGGCTAGGCACACAGACCTGTGAAACATCCTGCCGTCAACTACCTAGACGTATGTGACTAGGTGGCACAGGTGGGAGAACAAAAAAAAACAAATCTGGTGCTTGCATCCAGGACCCTAAGTGCCAGAGGGTGCCTCACGTTTTTGTGACACGTAAAATGGCCCTAAATTTGACGGAGAGTAGATAAAGGAGGTGCAAGGCTATCGCAAGTGGCCGTAAAGTACGTTAATTCGTCGCCGAGCATTGGCCCGGAACAGCAGCATTGCATCCACTCCTGTGGGACGCATTTCCTATTGAACAGGATCGTTTGAGTTCCCTGGAGGCGTGAGGCACCATCAGGGCACATCATTGTTGCGGATTTCTTGACACAGTGGTCGTAATTTTGTCGATAAGAAAAGAGGGGAGGGGTCATATATGAAAATTTTGATAGTTAATATTTCTTGTTTCATGGACGCTCTGGAGGAAGGAGTCGTATTACCTCAGAGCAAAGAAGAGTTTGCCCTTCCGTTCCCCCACTCGACTGCTCGATGATATCAGAGGAGGGAACAAGGGGTAAGGTCGTACCAAGAACCACCAGATGTGGGAGAGTCGATACCGACTCCAGCGACAAGATCGCCCATCTGATGATAGCCCTGGGCATGATAATTTTGATACCTGCTCAAAACCAATAGTCAGCAGGAGAACAGGTCTACATAGACTAAAATGATGAAATAGCGAAATTAAACGGTCACAAACCTGTGAAAAAGCCCTTGTTCTGCACGGCACTGGACGAGCACTTTAACGGCACCCACGGTTGGAAAAGGCGCCACGGAACCCAGCTTGGCTCCATATCTTCTGTGCTAGGTGTATTACCCTATATAGCCTTGTGCCGATATAAGTCGTGCCACACACCTTTAAAATCTTTCGGGGAAACAAAGTCATTAACGCCAATGGAAGGCCAACCCACAGACCCTATACCAATCAGCTCGCAGGATAAGCCGGTGTATTGCGCCATCGCTAAAAGATCTGAACAATTTCCCAGGCAAATCACAAATCAGTAAGAAAAGGTAATAAATCAGTAAACAAATGGATAATGTTCAGCTCGATCCTACCTTGTCTGCCTCCTTCATTGGTCTCATCATGGCCGTCTCTGGATTGGGAGAAGCCGTTGCAGCACCGATTTTCGGGTTGGTTTTCCTTTTCTTGATGTCAGCGATCGATCAGTCAATCAACCAATCAAGTTAGCCGGTCGTTCTTAATGAACAGCCGTTGAAATTCCAGGTTACTGGACGAATTGCACGGGAATGATCATCCCTCCGTTGATCGCTTCGGTTGGGATGTCCATTGTGGGAAATGTGATATACATGTGTTTGAATGAAGTGCCAGTAGGCTTCAGGACCTATGGACTTTTGCTTTCACGATTTCTGAACGGCGCCGGGAGCGGTGAGTTGTCTTCACCCCCACTTTTGGATGAAATATAGATTTTGTTCGTTTAGGAAACCGTGGTACATACTTCGCGTATATCGCGGCGGCGAGTGACCCGAGCGACAGAGCGCGGTCGATGGCTCTCTCTGGTGGTGGCGCCTTAATCGGGCTAAATGTCGGTCCAGGTAGGGCGTGATTCTCGTGGTCGGTCATATGATATGATGAGCAAAAAGGTTTGATGAGCAAAAACCGCATGATCACTGATCATTGTTTGACAGACATCAGACGCCTTACGCAACATGATTGATGGCTGGAAAAGTTCAGCGAAGATGTTCAAAACCAGTTTTCGTTGATGAGTAACGTAGATCGTTTTCGTGGGAAAAAAGAAAGAGAGAAATATCATCTCTGGAGTGTTTCGGTGAAAAGATTATGACGTGTTGGAAAATTGTGATTGAGAAAGTGATCACTGGTTTGGGAGGGGTTCCAATAACTTCTCTTCAGAACTCATGAAAATGATGGAGATTCTTGGGGAAACATAGGCATTTAGTAGAACCTCCTCCTCCTGCTCCTGCTCCTCCTCCTCGTCTTCGTCCTCGTCCTCCTCTCGTCCTCCTCCTGCTCGTCCTCCTCCTGCTCGTCCTCGTTTCCTTTCAATCATCCCCACGGTCAGTGAGTTCCCGGGAGAAGTGAGATGAGAAGGCAAGGAATAGCTGGGGAGGAAGGACGCGCAGATTTCTCAAGTCCAAAAAGTCGTAATAGAGGCATCGGCGGGAGGGGGATTGTTCTGGACGACTGATTTTCCTAATCGCCTCTCCGCTGACACCACCTGTGAAGGTAATTCGTAGAAGATGGCCACTGTGAAAGGGGAAGAGTAAGTAAATATGAGGTTTTTCAGAGTCCAGGCGGCTGCACCAGGTGTCCCTTCTATATCTCCGGGGGGGGGGTCATTTAGTTGATATCGAACTTTTACATGATGACAAAGCAGGAACGTGAACATCAGGTGCCTCGACGTCATTGTAAGAGCCAAATAAAAGCGCTTTCGAGAGGGGCATTTCGCAGTTTTGCTAGCTCCTTTTGTTAGTCTGCGTGTCGCCTGAACTTATAGATTTAGCTTCGATGGGACCTGTAAACCCTTGTGAAATGCGAACTGGTACATGAACTCATCTTTATAAGAAATCCCAGATATCAACAAGGTGGGCTGTATAAGCTTCACTGGATACCAACTGGTGCCCCCACCAAGCCGAACTGAGCCTAAATGAACATTCAAATCCTTCACAATTCTGAATAAAAATTGGGTATTGTGGTTGCTCCATATGGAGCCAATAAGCACCTCGGAAAACACGGGAAACAGCTTCGGAAACATGTTGAAAGATGAATTCTGCGATAACCGATGGGCGGAGACTCACAAATCCATCCTCATTTGTGCGCCATTCTCTTTTATGTACTGCATTAATAGGTGCGCCAAAGAGGGTGCAATTGAGCTTTTTCGATTCCCCCGATCATCTGCCTGAATCCGCTTTTGAACTGATCTCAATCTAATCAATAGATTATTAGTAATCTAATCAGGAACGATCCTGATAAATACTTGTAGCTCTTAACTTGCCATTTTCAGCCGCTCAAATGCTCTTCACATGGATCGGCGGCGAAGGGGTGAATATTGGATTTATGAGAGTTTCCATGTACACAGCACCAGCCATACTTGCCATAGCGATCAACATTGCATGGTAGGCGGAGTTTCCCACAGAAAAACATCCCTAGTCATTACTTTGAAAATCTCAGGTTTGTTTCAGTATCGTCTTCCTTGTTTGCTGTTTGGATGACGGTTTGGATCGCTACAATGGTCCCGACTCGGACAACGTTTCCACGTACAGTATCGCAGCCGCCAGCGACTCTGACCTTGGTGAGTTTCGTCCGTGATTGCGTCCTTTACAGTATTTTTTGTGACAATCAGGGACATTTTAGAGAGAAATGCAGTAAAGACGGTACGAATGGATGTGCTCGCGGTAGTTGTCTGCATGTGGACAAGAGCTGCTCGAATGCTGATCACAGCCAATGTAGAGAGGTAACAACTATCAGTTCACTCTCATCCCTAAGAAGGCACCGTTCGGCTTGGGGGAGGCATTTTGCTGGCCCCTATGGGTACTAGCGATGTTTCCTGTAGAAACCTGTAGATTCCTGTAAAGCTGAGCAATAGCAGGAGCTGTTTATTTTTTAACAAGGGTCTACCGGTCTCATCATGGTGTGATGTGTATTTCAACAGAAACTGGCAAAAGTGCACAATGCCCCTCCCAAGCCAAACAGTGCCGATATGGGACTTTCGAAAAAAATCCAGAGACTTCGTTGCTGCACCCAGAGCACGTACTGCCGCTGGGGAGAACTTTCAGGGAGTACGATCCCCCAATTCCGTTCTCTGCTAGGACTACCCACTTCCCCATCCTCTATCTTTTCACAGCCTCCTACCTTATTTTTTTGAAATTTTCCAGGAATTCTGCCGTCGAGCGAGAAGGGGCAGGGTGGGGGTGCATAGCACCAGAGAAACAGGAGAAACGCGAAAAGTCACAACTGGAAACTTTTTTCGCAGCGCGCCAAGTTCTCTTACAGACAAATGCACCTTCCCCTCCCCCCTTATCCAAACGAAGATCAAACCGCTGGTGATTCCCTAACGTAGGACCTACCCTGGCAGCACCTCTTCATTGGTGGGCTCCACCACCTTGAGGCAGCAACGAGAAATGCTCGCCAGTGAGGAAAGTACAACATTGGGCCTGACTCCGCCCATGCGGAAAACTTGGACATTCCTTCCCAATGGCTGTTTTGAGTGACCGTTGAGTAGAGAAAACCGAAGCTGATCTCTGAATTTTCCAGCTGCCATATTTCTGGTATTTCAGCATTGGTTCACCTTTCTCAGAGGTGATGTTTGGCCTGGACGATGAACAAGTTCTGAACTACAATTCAATGATGCAAGGAGCAGTCGGAATGCTCACCACTGTGATGTTCTTCGTTTACGCCTTCACTGACTATTCAAAATGGTGAGTGCACCTGGACACTTCGGCCCATCGTGTTTTGGGCCATCGACTAAGGCAGCGTTCAGACTTCGCGATGATGCGCCTGGATGAGCAGTAACGCGCTGCAATCGATCGGAGTCGACGGCACCGCCCTAGCGCCAAGTGCCGATCGATACTAGACCGCGTGATTGGGCAACGCGCTCCCTCCAGTTCCCCCATACTCTCTCAAGAGACGAACGTCGCCATCGATTCCCGTTCGAGTCTGTTTCGCGTCTTTAGGACTGGAGCGCTGTTGCAATTGTAGCGCGTGACAGCGCATTACAGCGCGTCACCTGAAGTTTGAACGCTAAGCGAAGAGGCGGGTGGTGATCGTTTACCAGCCTTCATTGGCTCTTATCAGGGCTAGTTTGACTTTTGGAATGGAACTCCAAGATCAGTCAACAATTGGCCATTGCAGGGTTTCCGAACGCCTGAACTGCCTGGGAGCGATGATAGCCTTGTTGGTCTTCCATTTGCTGACATTCTCGTGGCCATTCCTCAGCGGTGAAATGCCCGGATGCGCAAAGTACGTCTCTGGAAATGGTAAGTGATTGTTTCCTGTACCCCGTAACTGCACACGTCCACTGCAGATACCGTAGTCGGTCGCCACACGCGGCTGATATCGTAGTATGCCGCGTCGCAGGGTTCATGCGACGAATGCTGCCAATCGCCAGCTTAGGCAGCTGAAGCAGCTAGAATTGTGACTCACGTCAGGTAAGACGACGATGTCACATGTACGTGTCCATGTAATCGATCAATCGATCGCCAATGCTGCTTGATCGATAGGCAATTGATTGGTTTTCAGGTAGCACCCATGGATGGGATTGGTGCGAGAGCCTGCAACCGATCAATTTCTGGGTCTACTACGTCGGCTACGCCCTCATCTTCGGAATAGGCCTTCCGTGTCTGAACAATTCCCTCCAGTCGCTCTACAGTCAGATTCTTGGCAAGGGCAGACAGGTGACTACAGTACTTTTAGCAGTGGAAGGTCTTGAGACGAATGAAAAGAACTGTCGTACTTATAGGGAACCATGCAAGGAATCAATCAGGCAGCCGGCTGCGTGTCGCGCATTTTGGGCCCCCTCCTTATGTCGTAAGTTTTTTTTTGCGGTTACTGATCCTTGTACAAAGTAAATAATAAAGAATTCGGTCGTGGTGAAAGATGAAATGAAATGAAATTTGTGATCGAAAATTGCTAATACTTTCTTCGAGACCTAATAATTAAGCAGTAAATAGAACCCCTACTATGTGGGTGCTAACAAATGAAATAACGTTTTTTTTCAGAACAACCTTCTCATCATTCGGACCACGTGCTACGTGGCTTATCGAAATTGGCCTGATCTCTATCTGTCTTGTTATCTGGTGAGCATCATCTCATTCATAAGAAATGCCAATTAATCATAACAGTTCAGTCAGCTTTGAAAAAATCTGGGCAAAGGAGGGCTTGGTGGGGGCACGATAGTACACAGCTAAGCTTGTACAGGCTACTCACATTGTGAAGACCCTCAAAGTTTTGAAGTGGCTCATTTAAACCAATTGTCATGTAGCTTCACAGGAGTTAGCAGGTCGCGCTCAACTAAAGCAGGTTTGACATGTATTAAAAGCAATAGCGAAAGTGCAGAATGCCCCCTCCAAGCTGAATATCGGCGAAGTTTTCAACCAGGAGGTCGTGCCCGCGGCGGAGAAGGAGGAGGCAGGATGCTGAATTCACAATGTACCTAGACCCCTCCCTCCCCAAAAGAAGTCCATCCTAATTAGTTGAGGAATTCCAACTGAGCAGTCGCCTCTGGAATAAGGTACGTCATAAGGGGATGAGGAAAATGCATTGTACAAAGCACCTTAACTCCTCTTACTCGGTGTCGATACTTCTTTAATCCAAGCGCCCAACTTACTAGACCCCCCACTTTTTTACCTCACCCTATTTTCCATGTTCTAGAAAAAATT